ACTAGTTTTTGGTGAACAGGAAATCATAATCTTGAAAAGTAGTTGGGGAGGATTGAGATATAGTTTGTTGCTCGTGGGTTCGGCTTTTTTTTGTCAAAAGTTTCAATCTTTGAATTTTGCATGAGGGTTTGTGAATAGAAGATGTATAGCAATTTCAAGGAGCAGGCAGTAGCGTATGTGAAGCAAGCAGTTGAGGAAGATAACGCTGGAAATTATGCAAAGGCGTTCTCACTGTATATGAATGCTTTGGAGTATTTTAAAACACATTTGAAGTATGAGAAGAATCCCAAGATTAAGGAAGCGATTACGCAGAAGTTTGTGGAGTATTTGAGGAGGGCTGAGGAGATTCGTGCTGTTCTAGACGAGGGAGGAGGTGGGCCACCAGCATCCAATGGAGATGCTGCTGTTGCGTCTCGTGCAAAGTCAAAGCCAAAGAATGGAGGAGCAGAGGGTGATGATGCAGAGAATGTAAAGTTAAGAGCTGGACTTAATTCCGCTATTATAAGGGAAAAGCCTAACGTGAAGTGGAACGACGTAGCAGGGCTTGAGAGTGCCAAGCAGGCATTACAGGAGGCTGTTATACTGCCGGTTAAGTTTCCTCAGTTTTTCACTGGTTAGTCCTCCCCTTTTTTCCCGTGTTTCTGTACATAACTTAGTCTCAAGATTGATATAAAGAAGTGAACAAAGGTTTAAAATGTGATATCATTCCTCTGGCTCTGTCTGCAATTCTTAATTTTTTATCGCTGTAATTTCTTCCCTAAACAATGGTTAATGCTTTGAATTGGAAGTGAATGTTCTGTTGGTGAAACACTAATTAACATAATTGCTTGGTCTCTGCAGTGAAGGAACTTGTGTGAGCTATTAGTAACTACTTGTCTCATGATATCATGTCTGATAAGAATTACTTTATCGGCTAATTAACTGGATTAATCGGATGACATATACCAAAGTTACTTTTGATTCACGGGATGGATGATCATCACAACAAAGAAAGCGACTAACTTATGAGTGGCTTCATAATAGGTGACACTATTAAAAGCCTTATCAAACAAAGTTTTACACTACCGAAAGTAACCAAACAAAAGTTTATAAACACTAACCATGAAGTCCCTTATGGTATTTAGTTGGAGATTCTAAAGAAGGTTTTCAGACTGCAACTTCAAGAGTCATGCCACTTCCTTACGAGAAGTCAAGAACTGTATGAAAATATAAATAGAAGTCCTTTATGTTCATAGCTTCTTGAGTTAATATTTCTGTTTCATTGTGCATTTTCCTATCAGGCAAGCGTCGACCGTGGAGAGCCTTTTTGTTATATGGCCCGCCTGGAACAGGAAAGTCATACCTAGCAAAAGCTGTTGCTACAGAAGCTGATTCTACCTTTTTCAGGTAACACGCTGAAACTGGTGCGCGAGATTCAGATTCTTCTGCATTCTATTAATGGCAAAGGATATATTTTATTCACCACATCTCCTTCTTATCCATTTCCCATTGCATCACTTTGGAACTCTCTACCTTTGGAGAAAAGATATGCTTTCAGTTCCGCTTAGTGGGAATGCTTTGTGTATATATTGGTGTCCATTATCATTAAGTGCAAAAACATTGAATGAAAGTAAAAGGTAAAGACATAAAAAGTGAAAGCATCTGCTTGTTATCCATTTCCTCTTCATCACTCTCCCACACTCAAGCATGCAAAGACACTGCCTAGGCGAGGAAGAGTTAGAGAGACAAGAAATCAATGTTTTATTCAACCTCATATATTTTACTGCTTTAAAAAACAAACATCATGCATGTGAAATTGTCCTATTTCGGCTATGCAGTGTTTCTTCGTCAGACCTTGTTTCAAAGTGGATGGGTGAAAGTGAAAAACTTGTGTCAAATCTATTCCAAATGGCCCGAGAAAGTTCTCCTTCAATAGTATTCATAGACGAAATTGATTCCTTATGTGGCCAAAGAGGTGAGGGTAGTGAGAGTGAAGCATCGAGACGTATCAAAACTGAGCTTCTCGTACAGATGCAGGTAATTTCTGTTCTGAGAATATATGGCAACTGCTTTCTTGATTCTTTGAGTTCTTATTTTCAACTATTTAGCTACTGGCAGATTTATTCCTAAGCAAACTAGTCATAGATTTTTGCTTGGATTTACATAGGAATAGTAGTTAGATATTAGACATTATATCCTAGTTTGGTTTGGGATTTGAGAAAAACTGTATTCAATAGGATAGGGCTTTGAGTCTTTATTTTTTGTTTTTTATTTTTTGGTATGAAGTTCAGAGTTTTTAAGCAACTGTGCCGGAGTTAAGAGATCTCAGAGTTTTTGGTGCTTCCTTTGGCTTAAAATACAATTACAAAGAAGCACTTGCCGATGCTTTTCAGTTCTGAAAACAGGTGTAGTTTTCAAAAAATTTCAAGCCTCTTTCGTTCTTAGACCTTTTCTAAGCCATCATGCAACATAAAGCCTTTTCATTCTATCATTCCCTACCCTTGTTTGCAGTGCATTTTCAGTATTTTAAACCCTATAACTACTGTGTACATCTCATTACAGTTATAAAGTTCTTTTTGAGCTTGCAAAAGTAAGTTTTATCTAAGATGATACAAGGAAAATTTTCAATTAACTAGAAATGGACCCTTCCAGAGTACTTTTGTGGACACAATTCAATAAGAATCAGACATATTTTAAAAAATAAAATAAAAGGGATATTGAGGGGAAAAAAGAAAACCCCCAGGTTGGTTGAACATTGACTGCAGGATTTTAGAATACATCTCTGGAAAGGATAAGTTCTGTCATTGGGGCTCCCCTATGTTTAAATTGTTGTGACATGTATCAAAATGATTTTTAGGTCCTTCCTACTTTTTCCCTTTAGCTAAATCTTACCTCTGGACAACATCACGCGATTCATGGAAATTTCCTGGGGGAATCTGGTATTACCTGCAGCAAACTTTTACATGCATCTCTATTTCTATTTTTCTTCTATTGCTTACTTCTAAATTGCAAAGTACTTCCCATATTGCTTTATGCTGATTTTCTTCAATGCCTTCTAGGGTGTAGGGCATGATGATGACAAAAAAGTTCTTGTTCTTGCAGCGACAAACACTCCCTACTCATTAGACCAGGTTAGAAGGGTCTTTCAACACTCTTTAACTTCATGTTTTGTTAAGACTTATTTCTCCGTTCCTGTCTAACGAGTAGCTTTCCTCAGGCTATTAGGCGGAGATTTGACAAAAGAATTTACATCCCCCTACCAGATTTGAAGGCAAGGCAGCACATGTTCAAGGTACATGGGAATATTTTAAGCATATCAGGAATCCTCTTGGAGCATTGGTCTCAGATGTTGCGACATACTGATCTTATTTACGTTCATGAGCAGGTACATTTAGGAGATACCCCTCACAACTTGACAGAAAGTGATTTTGAGCAACTAGCTCGGAAAACAGAAGGTTTTTCAGGTTCAGACATTTCTGTATGTGTAAGTATCATACTTTTATAAAGTGTTTTTATTGAATACTAGCTGGTCTAATATTCCAAAGAAATACGGTCAGCAATGCTTCTCAAAGGTAGCTGGAGTTGCTCTTTTCTCATCTTCCTTTAAATGAGACAGGTAAACGAAGTCTTGTTTGAACCTGTACGTAAAACTCAAGACGCTGAGTTTTTCATTAAGACCCGTGATGGGTTGTGGGTGCCTTGTGGGCCCAGACAACCAGGTGCCATTCAGACTAATATGCAGGAGCTTGCTGCAAAAGGCCTGGCCTCAAAGGTAACGACATAAGTTGCTTCTGGCAGATAGACGATTACATTGTGATATTACTTATAGTCATGCCTTCTATAATGCTGCCCGTAGTATGCCACGTGTTAACTCTGTAAATGAATTTCATACTACATGCAATTGAAATTTACAGTCATACTTAGCACTCTAGGAGCAATGGTCTCGCAACAAGATTTATAATAAGACATGGCAGAAGCATAAAATAGTTTTTCAAGTCTCCAAAGCCAAACTTTTGAACAAAAAGAAAAACAAAGTGGGAGAAGTTATTAAGACACTATTATAATAGATATCCGACGTTATGATGGGTCAGGCTAAGAATCAACACCATTATAAAGTAACTAATGCAGTATGGTTGTTTGTTGATTACCAATTACTGATTGATATTTTTGCAGATAACACCACCGCCAATCAGCATAAGAGATTTTGACAGAGTGCTATGGAAACAGAAGCCAACAGTAAGCAAAGCAGATCTTGAGGTGCACGAGAGATTCACGAAGGAGTTCGGTGAGGAAGGATGAATGCTCTTTGGTTTTCTACACAAAATTATGTAACTATTATTGAACCGAAATAATTTATAGTCAGATGATAAAACCTAACAGCCGTGTGATGAAGAAAAATAATCAGTCATGGTTCTTACTTTAAGGACCATTGAGCTGATGTTCAGCGGTTGCTGCTTTTGCTTTGCTGTACAACTTAATGTTATTTTGTCAAAAAGCATTTTATGTAATTTTACACGTTCAGACCATAAAGGAACGTCAATATTTCTGATGGAATGAAAGAAATGCGGTTTTTCTTTTTTACAAACAAACATTAACATATGTATTTTTTTTACAATGAAAAAAGATACATATAATATGGCGCCCACCGTGGGGCTCGAACCCACGACCACAAGGTTAAGAGCCTTGCGCTCTACCAACTGAGCTAGACGGGCTTTGCTTCCAGACACAAAAATTTACATATTATTTGAGGAATACACTTTTGAACCTTTGATCTACTTTCTTAGTACCAGAAAGCTGGAACGAGATAGCAACCCTAGCTAAAAGCAAAGGCATATAGATATAAACACACGAGGGCATTACCATAATTGAGGCAAATCATCTGCAGTTCTACATACAGAATGAAAAGTCATTAGGACAATTTACAGGATTCTGTGATAGAGATTGTCATTGCATGCAGTGTGGATGTAGTTAGAAGGTACGGTTTCAACTTAACTTCGCATTTTCAACACGGAACTTAAATATATATATGAAATCGCTAAACTTTTAATAAATATAAAATTTTGACCGCATAATATTGATAGTGTATCGGGTTCAACCGTAAGAACATCAAGATTGAACCCATCAAATTCGAATCCCGGGTCCGCCTCTTACTGTATGACCTTCAAAACTGGCTCAATCATTTGAGCAGTGAATATTACACGGGAATATTTGGATACAGTATCAGGCAAAGAAGAAACGAAGTGGTAATCTTCTACGTGTAGCTCGGTTGTGCATTAAGGCTCCAAACCAGATTCTAAGCTCCCTGTATCTCCAAAAAATGCCGAGAGAATATAACAGCTCTCCCTCTCTATTCCTATCTATAGTCTCTCTGCTTCTATAATGTTACCTAGCTGCTCCGGGTCGTCCTCTGCTGTATTTTGGAGGATTCGTCCTAGCGGCATCAACTGTTATCATCCAGCCATTAATGATCTGTAAAACAAAAAATCAATAAAGTTATCATTTCTGTTAGCACAGATGATTTTGTGGAAGTAAAATAAAGCACTTTGCTCCAAAATTACCTTGCCATTCATCTCTTTGAAAGCAGTAGTTGCAGCCTCCACTGTTGTGTACTCAACAAAAGCATAACCTTTCGACCTCTTGGAAATTTTGTCCATTATGATTTTAACTGTTAGGATACATAAAAATGTTAATGAGCAATGATTTCTCCTACGACTATGCTATGAAGCAGATATCTTCACACAACAAGCATAACACCTTCAACAAGTTCACCATATCCTTCAAATGCTGCACGCAGCGTTTTCTCAGATGTATAGAATGACAGACCTGTGGAGAAAAGGTACATCGCGAATAGTTAGATCATCGAAATAAGCAACAATCTGCAGCAAAGTAATCTCTTGAGTCTTGTGCTAAACGGGAAATGAGTAATTTAGTTATGTAAGAAATAAACAGCAGTTTTTTTTTGGTGAATTCAGAATTGCAACTTACCAGTCACAAAAAGCTTCTTGGTTATAACATCTGTTTCCCTGTCTGATGCTGCAGATTGCTGGGAATCATCACTCAGCTTCAAATTCCCACCTGATAAACCATGGGTATTCAAACTTTCAAGAAATAGAGATACTACATGTAATCTGTTTACCAAAATTTTGGGAACATTGCTTTTCACAACTAGTTTTCTCTGCTATTTCGTCTCCCTAAAAATAAGGCAAATGAAAAGATCGATAGCTTCATCCATATTTAACCGATCAACTCAGTTATTCTTAAAGGACATGCTTTTCTGTACCATAGAGGTGTGACAAACAAGATGACCATGCATCTTGCTCGATGTACACTAGATTCAAATTGACACTCAAAAGCGCAAACATCTCACTGAATTTTTCAAGGAAAATCATTACAAAGGTTCGTTTCCTAAGGGAGACAACTCTTTGCTGATGGAAGAATTTTATAATAACGCGTTGTTACTGGAAATTAACTTTGAGCAAGACTTCTAAAATCACCTTCAAGGACCAGACTACAACAACAACAAACCCAATGTAATCCCACCTTCAAGAACTAGACTGCCAATGGGATATTGTGAAGAGGTCAACATGTAATATTCTATATGGTAAGAAGGTTTATTCACCCTTAGAAGATCATATCCCATATAAGGGGATCATATAATCATCTTATATAGTTAGAATCATCACGGATAGAACCTGGAAACTAAAGTTAATAAAAGAGCATGCACAAGAAAATTTAAAAGAAAAAAATGTCTAGGTTGACTTAATCCTTATATACTAGTATATCTTTTTCTTTCAAATAACCTGCTGATATACTGCATTACTGTGTCAAAATAAATTAAGGTCAATAATTTTATGACATTTCACATTTATATTTCCATTTGATATCTTCTAGATGGCCCAATCCTCAACATCAGAGATGTAGCATTCAATAGGGTAAAAGTCAGATATGATCTCTAACCTCCATAGTCTTTATTGTCCGAGTCAAAATTTTCATCTGGCCGAACAGATAGAACTCCAGGCATTCCTGTGATGGTACATCAAAACATTTACTGGCACTATAAAAATAATTATTACATATTACAGGTAAGATTGCTAGTATGACATGATAACCTCACCAGCTAATTCTTGAGCACACGCCTCATCTAATTCACAACAAAATCCATAATTGGATTGCCAAGACACATGATATAAGCACATCTGTGCATCCTTCTCACTGTCATCAAGAAACCAATCCGTCCTTTTAGCAAAATGTTAATAATGAATTTGAAATAACAATATATTAATGCTCAGAAACAAATACTTACTTCGCAAGAACTTTGGTTAGAACTTGAACGTAATAGTCAACCACCGGGGCTTTTCTTATGACTCCAACAGATGGCCTGGATATCCGAACAAGCCAATGTTTAGAAGTCCCAGCTGGAAATAACGATGAGCCATCGGCATATGAATTTGATAGGGAACTTAACTGACCCTTCGGGTAGCTATAGTTTTTCACCATTGAGTTAAAATCAGGGTCAGGTATAACTGATAGTACCCCAGGCATACCTAGGATTCAAAAAAGTAGAAAAATGAACAATTGATTCAAGTCTTAACAAAAAGGGAAAGTTTCAAGAACATCCAAAACATATATGTAGTTTTTTATAATTAGTACGCACTGCACCTAAATTACGGGGCAATAACAATAGAGGAGGGCATGCAAGAAAGCAGACAAGAAATTTACCAGCAATCTCATTAGCTACATCCTCATCAATGTCGCAGCAAAATCCATACGGGACATTGCAAGAAGCATTATACATACACATTTGAGCATCCTTCTCACTGTTTCATTAAGAATTGATAGTTGTAAAAATCAGCACCAACTCCCATAGAAAGACATTTTTTAAGATAACTCAAGTAAGAACTCTAGAGAAATTCTAAAATTGGATAGTTGGAAAACAAATAAATGGAGCAAAAGTTTCAAGTACTAGATGCTCCCATCACATCCTACAAAATATGGGCAGCATTTAGATTGTGATTATAGGAGAAAAAAAGTGAAGAAACAAAGTAAATAGAGGAAAAGAGGTGATAAGTGCTAATATGAGTTTGTGAAGAAAATTGAGATGAAAGCTTGAAGATTAACGCTAATCTTTAGATAGCAAAGGTACAATTCAAATTGCAAGAATCCAATTATTCTAACAAGAGGTACCAGAGCGGATCAATCGGGGTAAGATACTTAAAGCTCTTCTGATAAGTAGCAATTCAAGGGAAGATTCTACCAGTATAGTCAGAGACTGTATCTGTCTAGAGACACCAACTCATGGCAGATTTTGTAAGTATTCTCAGTAGCGTCGAGAAGCTCAACATGCATATTATGGATAGTGGAGCACAGGAATACAATATCATTTTCTCAGTCACGAGTTATTGGATAAAATGGGCAGCTCAGACACCACACACCAACTGATGTTGAAGCAGCACGAATGTGGAAGGATTAGGCTCGAAACCGTTGTATGCACTCCCTATGACATTAAAAGGATAAATATTTGCAAAAAAAAACTAATAAGACTGGACACCAAAAGGCGCTTGGGATGCCCTAGCAACAATTTTTACAAAAAGGAACAGAACAAAACTGCAGAAACTTAAGAACGAGCTTTTGTTATCTTACAGTGAAACATGGCAGTAAAGCCAATGCTTTTCAAAGTTAAATTTCTATGTTATGAAATAGTTTTTGAGGCAATGTCAGGCTTACCTGTTAACTGGAGGAAGATTCAGCTATATCCAGTTAACGAAGTAACTGATTTGCATAGATTGACTATGGATGCAGCATTGCAGCCAATGCGAAAGGTCAGATTCTTGAAGTATTGTCCAAATTGGACATTGTGAGAAAGCATTTGACCTTGTCAATCGGGATTTCCTAATCAATATCTTAACGAAATGGGTTTTGGAAGGAAGTGATGCTTTTTCGTATCAGCACTGCCAAGTTCTCAACTCCTATTAATGGATCTTCTGATAGTTTGTTTCCATCCCAAAGAGGTCTTAGACAAGAGGACCCAAACCCTCTCCCCCCCTTTGAATTCATCCTAGCAATGGAGGACCTGAATATTGCCATCTCTAATGGGTAATGGCTAGCTGATTGGCTAACACTTGCATAATTCAAATTACAAGCGTCCAATTGTATTCGACATAAAGAAAGAAACAGTTTTACCAATTTCCACAATTTATCAGCATATAATCTTAGTCAAGCACAAATTCTTTTACCATCAATCAATAAAATTTATTATACCAATCATAGAAGCACTAACCAAAACACTTAAACTTGGTGAAATGCAGAAAAGATTATATTTTTTACCTGCCCAAGACTCTTTGAAGGGTGTGCACATAGTAATCAATGACCTCAGATTTGGAGCTGACCCCATTGGGCGGGGTTTCCAGTAGCACCATCCAGTGGCGTTGAGCGTTAGAAGAAGTGGGCAAATGTGGAGAAATGGGTGTAATAGATGAAGAAGCTGTAATTGAAGTTGCTCTGTTTCGGCAAGTACAACAGTATTTGGAAGAAGAGATGGTGGAGCAGAGGTTTTTGGATGATATATTAGGAAAATTTAAGGTGTATTTGAGAATGGTTTTGTGGGGTTTAGCAGATAATGTTGGGATTACGGAGAGAGAAGAAGATGAGTGAGGCACAGTCACTTCCATGGCTCAACTCTCTCAGAACTGATAAAAGGGGAAAGAATTAAAACTTTGCCACCATTACATAGTATTTCATATTTATTTTTCCCATTTTATTTAAGAAAAAAAAAAAGGAGAAATGTCCAAATTTATCACCCTAATTCTGTGTGTCCTTGAAAAATTGTAAGTTTTTGGAAATTTTTCAAAAATAAGTTTTTCAAATTCCAAAAGTTGCTTTGACTATTTTTTCAAGTTTTTCGGAAAAAACTTTTTTCCTTACTGGCAAAACTACAATCTTTTAATGCATGTCCAAACATAATTTAAAATTTCAAATATTATTTTCAACTTAACTTCAAATATTATTTTTTTTCGAAAATCAAAATTTTTATGTTCAAACGTCGGCTTAGTCTACTATACAAAAATATTTTAATTTTATTTTTCATTGTACTTTAGGGCTATTGGTACTTTTGACGCTAGCAAACTCCCTTGACTTTAAGAGAATTCAAGTTGTGAATTTCATGTGTTCAACGAAAGCTATTTTTAACTATGATTTAAAATAATCTTTTTTACTTTAAGTTGAAACTCTGTTAGGATCAACGACATATATTATATATTTTGCTAATGAAAAAAGTATGAGTAATTTATAATATAACAAAATAAAAGATTAATATATTGAATATAGATGAATAATTTTTTTTATTTTTTCTCAAGGAAAAAAAAAAGAGGGACAGCTCTAACTTAATGACATATTTCTTCTCTTTTTCCTTCTTGTTATATATGCTAGTAATTGTGTTAACAGTAGAAATAAACTCTGAAATATACTAGAGGACCTGACTTCTGTCTGTAGGGTAGTTGGCTTGTTGGTAGGGGTGGGAGGGGGGAGGGGGGACTTCAATGAACTCCTAACAACCAAGGATAAGTTTGGGGGTAATAGCTTGAACACTAATAGAAGTAACAGATTCTGAAAATGCTTGAACAATTACAAATTAGTTGATCTAGGATTTAAAGGTTCAAAATATACTTGGTCTAAAAAAAGAGACACCAACACGCAAGACCTAATCCTAGAAAGACTTGACAGGTGCTTTGTCACTGATGATTGGATAGAGGAGTTCCTGACTCAACTGTTACCCATCTCCCTAGGATCCACTCTGATCATTGTCCCCTTCTCTTAAGCTTAATTCATCAAAGTCAGAATAGGGCCAATAAGCCTTTTAAGTTTGAGTCTATATGGTGCAACCACCCTGACTTTCTTCCTCTTGTGGAAGATAGTTTTGCAGTTAGTACTGATATCCTGAGATCCACCTCTGTTTTTACTAATAGGGTGGCTGATTGGAATAAACATGTTTTTGGTAACATTTTCCATAGAAAAAAATAGATCCTTGCTAGACTAGCTGGCATCCAGAAGTCTAATGCCTATCCCTTTAGTACCTTCCTACAGGACCTAGAAGCCAAACGCTAGCAAGATTTCTCTATCATTCTTAGGAGTGAAGAGGACTTTTGGAAGCTTAAATCCAGAATCAATTGGTTAAGTGAGAGGTATGCCAATACTAAATTCTTCCACATATCCACACTTAACAAAAGAAGGAGGAATAAGATCATGTCTCTGTAAGATGAGGTGAGGAACAGTATACTGGATCCCTAAGACATTAAAGATACAATCCTTAACTACTTCACTAAGATCTATACCACTGAACACCAAGGCTCAAATTTGAACAAGAGCCACATTACTAATAGTGCAAATGTCCTGACTACGAGGGAGCAGAGCACCATTGACTCTACCCTTAGGCTCTCTGAGATCAAGTGTGCCATGTTCTTCTTCAAGGCCATGAAGGCACTTGGGCCTGATGGTTTTCACCCTTTTTTCTATTAGAAATACTGGCACATTCTTTCCGGTAAGGTAATCCAATACTACCATACTGCCTTCTCTAACTGTACAATGCCTCCTGAAATAAACAAAACCAACCTCTGCCTCATCGCTAAGTGCCCTAATGCCACCATGCTGTAAATTTTAGGCCAATAAGTTTGTGCAACACCATGTATAAGCTGATCACCAAGATCATTATCATAGAATCAAACCTTTGCTACAGAATATCATTGGCCCTACTCAAGCCAATTTTTTAGCTAATAGAAAGGGCGTTGATAATGCCATTGTGGTACAAGAGTACATTACCCACTTCTAAAATATGAAAGGTAAGAATGCCAATATGATTCTAAAAATGGACATGGAGAAGGCCTTTGATAGGTTAGAATGGTCTATCATTAGAGAATCCCTCATCTTCTTCAACTTTCCCACCAAATTAACCACCTTAATCGTGTCTTGTCTCACTACAAGCTCCATTTTCATCCTTGTAAGTTGTACTCAAACTGAATACTTCAAGCCTAGTGGAGGCATTAGGCAGGGGGATCCCATGGCTCCCTACTTGTTCATCATATACACACACACACACACACACACACACACACACACA